CAGCTAGTGGTGAAGACTTCTAGGAATTTTAATCCAAGGACATCTGGGGACCCGACGTTGGGAACTACTGTTTTAAGGAAAAAAGACAGCAGGCATAGAATACACTTCGTGTGTCACTTTTAATACACAGAATGTATTTAAAACTGGGTTGACTCAGAGATACATATTTTCAAGATTTTGAGAACATTAAAGCTATAAAAATTGAAAGAAGCAAAACAAAAATCATTAAGATTATCTGTAGGGGTAAATGATGGTCTCTCATTAGTGGTCTACTGCAATGCCAGTTAAGCTGCTGGAGAGATTCTACAGACCCTTCCAAACTTCCCTCCAAACAGTTTGAGATATTACAAAAGAAATGGCTGATTTCAACATCAGTTGTTGGAAGACTCTGTTATAAATGACACTCTACATGCTTGCCATAGATCCACCTTCTGTTCATCATTTTGCTTGTGCACCCAATGTCACAGACACGTCCTATTTTTTTACTTTTAAAGTCTGAAAAAATATTTACTTTTTTAAAAAAAATCAAACTCATATAAATTGTTCACAAGAGAAGTAAAACTAGACACATATAGTAATTCAGAAATAAGCAGTCAAACTTCTGTGAGCGAGGGGCACAAAGGATGCAGAATTTAATCATTTTTGAACTGCATTGCCAGCTGCAAAAACTATTTGGATGATGTGCTCGGGAAATCCTAAGTAAAGACTTGTGTTTAAGCTATGCATGAAAAATAATGAGCTTCTGGTCACTTCTTGATCTAAGAGTCATTAAATATATACTAGTGTAATTAGTAAAGCATTCTTGCCTTTCTATATGGACATCCACAGATAAAGAGGATCTTATGCAACATACATATATATTGAAACCTCAACATCTGCCAAAGGACAGTCACAGAGGGGATCTCCAAGATGTCAGGAGCCATAAAGTATGAGGTTAGCAACATTTCTATCCCTTGAAGGTGTCTGGGCACCTGCTATTTCTTACACTAACTTTCTTTCATGTGGAAAAGTACATTTTCAGGATTTTTAAAACAACTTTAAATAACTGTTTAATACTGTCAAATGTTTAATTTTTTTTACTTTATAATTTACTGTGGTTTTAGTTGGTTTGATTTTTAGTAACTTGTGAGCTGCCTTGGCTCCCTTAACTGGGAGAAAGGTGACACACAAATGAAAATGAATGAATGTAACATATAACAACACATTCAACTACCTAAAGAGACTGAGACAGTTACCCAATAGAGAGCACCAAGTGTTAAGATGCTTACAAAGTGCATATTTGCACTGAGGGGCCATTGTATAAGCTCAGAAAATGAAGGGACAACATGGAGTCTGAAGTACATCTCTTAGGAGTTAGTGGTGTGCCAGTAAATGTAAATTTTTGAACTTGCATGAAACTGTGTTTTTGCTATGTTAAGCTTCTGGCTCTGCCTTCTAAATATGTTTCATTCTTGGTTTATATAACAAGGCATTGTACAATAAGGAAATGAATTTAAGCATGGTCCCAAATTGATTCTTTACTATTTAATATCACTGTGGAGACAATAACATAGTAAAGCCTATTAGGGTAGCACTTAGAAATGGGCATCTGAGTATGCTTAGATAATTGCCCAGTATACAGCTGGCAAAATACAGAACACAAACCTTTAATGCACCCTCATTCTAAGGCATAAAAATCTTTTACGTATATCAGTTACCTGTCCAGTTACCCCTACTGTGAAGTTGGTGCATTGCAATATACCTTTCCCATCAGATTCTTCTTTTAATGGATTTTAGTCAGGATTTAATTGTGATTCCAACTCAGTCATTCCCATCTGCACCTAAAAATTCTCCATATTTCCTTCAAACAGGCATGCAGGACTCACTCAAGCTTATTCCAATAAAGGAAAGCCAGAGACTGAAAATTCTGGGAAATTTTCAGAGATGTAGTCCAAAAACGCAAACCTGTACCCCTCCAGTGGGAATCTGTCCTTCAACCTCCTATCCAGAGTCTGCTGTTTCATGCAAGCCTTGAATCATGCCCACTGAGGCTTGAGAAAGCCTTACAATAGAGTACAGACAGAGCTAGCACATGTAGTACAGTGGTGCCTCGCATAGCGATCGCTCCATTTAATGAAGAAATCGCTTAGCGATAATGTTTTTGTGATCGCTTAGTGATGGTCCCTATGGGGAAAATTTGCTTTGCGATGATCACAGGGAAGCGATCATCGCAAAGCCCCCATTTTCGGCCAGCTGATTGGCGGTTCCAAAATGGCCGCCGGGTAGACAAAATGGCCACCCACTGTGTTGCCTCGCTTTAGAGGCACCGAAAATGGCCGCCCCTATGGAGGATTTTTGCTTAAGGTTAGTTTTTAAGCCCATAGGAACACATTAATGGCGTTTTAATGCATTTCTATGGGCTTTTTAATATCGCTTAGCGATGAAATAGCTTAGCAGCGATTTTTGCTGCATGGATTAACATCACTAAGCGAGGCACCACTGTATTAGTAAAAGTTTATTTACATTCATTTATGTTACACAAGCCCAACAGTGTCCACCCAGTGCACAGAATAAGATCACAGAGGATTTCCCCCTCCCCCATGAAGTTGTCTAAGTCCACCAAAATCTGTTCTAAGGGACTGCAGGAACTTCTGGAGCAGATTGGCAGGGAAGGAAGCCCTGAAGCGTGCGGAGGTGTATACTTCTGCAACTCTTGATGTCTCCCTGAGAAATCTCTGAGATACAAAAAGAACATATCCATGCTACATTGTGAAAAGAAAAGAAGCAGTAGAGAATAGCAGTGTTGAGCAAACCCACGTAGATTTACATATAATTACAATATTTACATATATTTATACAGTAGTACCTTGGTTTACAAATGCCTTGGTTAATGTAATTTTCGGTTTACTAATGGAAATCCATAGAAATTAATGCCTCGGTTTATGTTTCCTCCCTGGTTTTTTTTTGTTTGCGAAGGAAGTTTCCCCAGAATTAGTTGTGCCTGGGGGTTTATAGTGCTGCTCCTGTTCCTATGGCAATCCACGTCTTGGTTAACGTAATTTTCGCTTTACATAATGTCCCGGAGAACACATTGATTTCATAAACTGAGGTACTACTGTAGTACTTACTATAAATCATTATATATAGATACATAAAAGATTATGCATATTTTGAAATGTTACGCATAATTTTCTCCTATATTGCAATGTTTTTGACAAAAAAATTTAAGAAAAAATATTTCCAATAAAAGGTTCAAATTTTAAAAAGATTTTTAAACAGCAACAATGGCAAGAAACCTAATATTATTTATTTAAAGTCTGAGTTAATGTTCTGTAGCTAACTGACAAGATACCAAGGTGCATCTATACACTTGATCATGTTCCTAATCATACAACAGAGATGCATCCTAGCACCTCATCAATTAAATGCAACAACTTATGCAAACCATATGTGAACACAAAGAGGATTTAGGTTGGATATATGAAATATATTGTTTTCAGTTTATTAAAAATGTCTGCACATTATTTTAAAAGTTTTAATTCAAAGTGCATGAAAGAAATTTAAACATTTCCATTTTATTTGCAGTAATATTCATAATTTTTCATGATTATTACTATGATGATGATTATATTTCTTTCTACAAGCATTTTGACTTGAATTTTCAATAGGCTTTAGAGTAAGTTTTGTTTATTTATTTATTTGATTTATTTGATTTATACCCCGCCTATCTGGACTACTCGTCCACTCTAGGTGGCTTCCAATGTAAGATAAAACAATAAAACACAAGAATATACATAATCCTACAATGACAATTACAGTAAAAAGAAGAAAAAATAAGAAGAGAAAAATAGAAAAGAAATCAGGTATTGTTGAAATAGAAATCAGTTATTGTTGATTTTCAGGCATTTATTATATGCTTATTATATGCTTATTATTACATTACATTTGCATCTAGCGCTTCTTCTAAAGAGCTCTGGGTTATACATATATGAATCTCTCACATGCCCATGTTATCCTTACAGCTATCTTTTAAGGTACGTCAGGCAGAGATATAGTGATTGGTCCAAGTTGCCCATTAGGCTTCATGGGTAAATGAAGATTTAAAACTGGTCACCCAAGATCTGCTCTAACATTGCAATAACTATGCTACATATATATTAGCATTTATTTTTTCAGTCCATTTCCCCTTTCAGCTGATAGCAATATTGTCAGAGATTATATCACCTGTGACAACGTGATAACAATGTGTTGTAATAGGATGTTCTGAGCAGACTCAAGAGACCTAGGTTCAAATCCTATTCAGCCATGAAATTCACTGGATTACCTTGGGCTAACGACACCCTTTCAGGCGCATTTATCTAACAGGCTTGCTGTAAGGATGAAGTGGGGAGGAGAGCAATACACTCACTTTGAGTTCATTGGAGGAAAAGTGGGATAAAAATGTAGATAAGAAAGACCTGGGATCAATTATATGTTTGTTACTCTGATTCTTGATCTCCCCCCCCCCTATGGTTTGTACTTTCTACCTTTTAATATAAAAGGCTACTGGCTGTTCAATATTATAAGGAACAGCCTTCTTAGCATTCCTCACTTCCATACTGTTACCGTGTTTCTCTGAAAATGAGACAGGGCCTTATATTATTTTTTGCTCCAAAAAATGCATTAGGGCTTATTTTCAGGGGATGTTTTATTTTACAGTCATGTCATTTTCTGGTTGCTGCACAATGCGGCACAATGGTGGAGGGGGATTTCATTTAACTAGGACTTATTTGGGGGGTAATGCTTATATTACGAGCATCCTGAAAAATCATACTAGGGCTTATTTTCACGTTAGGTCTTTTTTGGGGGGAAACAGGGTAATATAAACCAGTGAAATTCTGTTCATGGCACAGCATAAAATCTTAGTAAAAAATTAAAAAATAAGAAACTTCAATCAGAAAATTGATACATCATAACCTAGCTCGCTGAGGGATTTGTGATTCAGTGAAAAAGGATAATACTAATATGTTGTTTATTTTTACCTTCTGGTGGCCTATTGGATGTTGCCACAACAACAACGCCATTTTGGAACAGATTTTCAAAAAGCTGTTTGAGAATCATGGCATCAGCAATATCTGTGACCTGTGTAAAACAACACCACCATCATTAAAACCATCGTCTGACTTGTACGATTAACAGATCTGCAACTGGCATTATTGTCAGCAGTGAGGCTTGTTGGTTAAATGATGGAAGATTCTAAATTACCACTTTCAGAAGAAAAGGGGAGGATAATTATTAAGCAGAGAATGTGTGGCAATCTTTTCAAATGTGTTGAATTCTTCCTTACCAAACCTCATCACTTTTTAACAAATTGCTGAACAACTTTGTGTTAACTTCCATTCTAAAACTACAGGTGGAAAACACTGAGAAAAGCAGATCTAAACAATTAAAAGACTCCACTAAATTAAACCAACTCAGATACACAACCTGCCCCCTCCCCAAGATCAAGGAAGAACAGTATGCACCAGCTGCTTTACATTTCTATTACCTTTCAGCAACGGTTCAAAGAGGTGACATTAAATGGTCACGGAACTTTTAGGGAAAAGGACAAGTAGCCAAGTATACATAATCAGCTGCTGTTGAAAATAGAATGATATGACATAGATACTATTGTGCGATTGTTGCACAAAACAATTCAACAGATGGCCCATCACAAAAAATAAGCAATTTCATTGTTCTTTTTAAGTGCCTTCTATTACTGTCCATGAATAATCAAAAAGGCACTGCAGTCAGTTCCAGCACAGTCAGCCTCTTCTATGTTTGACAGACACAAATCATTCTCTCCCTCTCTCTCTCTCTCTCTCATAAACACACACACACACACACACACAAGTAAAAGTGGGGGAATAACAATTAAAAATGAAAAGAAACTTTTGTCTGGGAATTTTCACTCCCCTGCTTATTGTTCCTCAAATTATTACAGCTGTGCATAAGATACTAATTTTATTATATGCAGAATTTCATTTGAATGTGTAAATTTACAATGCAGGAAGAGAGGCAATATAAGAAATGATCTGACAAATAGGGCAACTGAAAGTGCTGTGCATAGGGGGAGGGGTTGTAGAAAACATCTGAAATCAAGGCATCTGTTGCCAACAAGGCTCTTCAGCTGTTTCTATAAAAGGTCACTTGGGACTCACAGGTCTTCAAGCTCTGTTTTGGAAATAGCTCTGCCTAACCCAAATCAGAAGAAGACTGACACTTGGAGGGCAGCTATGAAGAACTAGAAAAGATCCTCAAGTGTAAAAATGTGTTTCTCAAGACTAAGACCATGATGTAATGTTCCCAATTACTACATGTGGATAAGAAAGCTGGGTAGTGAAGAAAGCTAGCAGGGAAAAATATTCATTTGAAATGTTAAATTAGAAGAGAGGGTTATGAATTCCATAAACCAAAAGCAGGACAAATAAGTGGGTGCTTGATCAGATCAAGTCCAAGCTCTGTCCGGAACCAAAGACAACTAAATAGAGGCAACTGAAATTTTGGACATACCATGAAAACATAAGCCTAACTGGAAAAGACAGTAATGCTGAGAAGAACTGAAGGCAGCAAGAAAAGAGAAAGACCAAGGATGAGGTGGACTGATTTAATAAAGGAAGCCTTGCTTTTACTGTACATTGGACGTTAGGGAATCATCACAAGTCACATGCAACTTGATGGCACATAACACCAAACCAATTTGCACATTATTTTAGGAGGTGGGATCTGACTGCTGCAGTAATGCATGAATAGATTGTTTCACATGTAGAAAGGCACTAAAGGCAAAGGTGAACAAATGCCAGCATGCAAGCAAGTAAACAAAATGTGACCTTGGGGCTTGCTGTAAAGAAAAAGACACAGAAGAGGTTATCTAAAAATCACTGGTAGTGGTCTTGTTGAGAACATTGAAATGGACCTAAGGAAAAGGAGAAAAGGAAATGTGCATCTTCCATCTCATTAAGGAAAAAAAATGACCACCACTGGTTTTCAAATAGTAGAAGCTGAAGACATCATGCAGTAGGACAATCTAGGCTTACAGCAGGAACACATTGGCAAGGCATAAGACTTTGGCACATTAAATTGTGAAATATTTATGAGCAGAGGGAATGCAATGAGGCCTTCTCAGGTGGTGTTTTGATGCTGCAGAATTTGAATCTCTCTGCCTACCAAAATAGATTAATCTCTTTAAAAGCTACATAATTAAAAAAGAAAGCAAGAGTCATTCTGCATACTTGGGTGCCAATTTATGTCCTTTTGATCCTGTATAGCTTCAGAAAGGAAGACAAAAGTGAAAGCATTCTCAAAGCTCAGGTTCTTTCTGTGCCTAGTGTTCATTATATAGGAGAACAAAAGAAAAGGATACAAATCACCAATAAGAGAGATCTGCTAATGGAGAGAATGGAGAAATTTCATTAGCACTGAAGAGAAAAGGTTTTTATGACCTAAAGCTGCTTTCTTCTCACTTACATTTTTCAAAAAAAAAAAATCTAAATAATGTACAGTATTTGTTTAGTGCTTGAAACTCAGTCATCCTTTGATTGATACCGGTTTTTATAATGACTGACAAACATAAGCACATATAAGCAATAATTAATGCTACCACAGAAATGCAATCTTAATGCAATTAGAGGCATGTTTATTCAGAAGACTCATTGTATGCAATGGGGCTTACTTTCTACTCATATGCGTATTTAGGATTGTAGCATAAGTTGTTTTTATAATATGCTTTCAATGGCTTTGCCAGTTTACAAGCACTATTTATTATGTAATCTCTTTACTCAATATGAGATAAGAGAGTATCGCATATAATTTTTTAATTCTACTGAGCTCCATAGATTAAGCATTCTTTTATTCCACGCCAATAATATCAGTCATAGAGCACGTGATTTCCAAAAAGCCAAATTGTGGGTTGCTTTAAGGGATATAGGAGCATGACATGAGACTAAGGTGAAGACAGATGTAATATAAAGAATGCACTCACAGCTGATCCATGTGCCACAACATGAGCCCAGATTCTTCACAGCTGAAATGACAGACGTGCATACCAATGAACTGAAAGCTGGATGACCTATCAGTCTAGGTCTTCCCATACTCACACCCACCCCTGATTCTGCTAGGGTGTTGACTTTTTTAAATTTTTAAACATGCACTTATCTTCCTTATATATTTTAAAAGAATGAATGATCATTTTGAAGTAAAATGGAGGGAGTTTTCTTGGTGATGGCACGAGAACCAGTAAGTCAACTATGTGCACAGATGTTCTCTGTTATTCCCTTGAATCTAGAGGAGCAAGTATATTATGGCTGGACTTTACTAATAATAGTTGCATGCTGCTCTAGATGTTTTACATCTGTCTTCACTCTAAGCAAACCCAAGGCTCCAGACTCTGTGATGGGCAAACAGCTCCACTGGCTAGTATTCTGTTGAGATTTTGCTCAGCAAAAAAACTGTCCAAACGTAGCAACACAGCATTATGCTACTTGTGTAAGCATGGCTGCTGTGGAAGTAGTGATCTCTAGGAAGAAAACCCTGCCTCCACTTGCTCAACAATAATACCTGTGGAAGCATGCTATCCTGTGTCATTATGCTCACACAGGCTTTCTGATCAGTGAAAACCCAAGAAGATATTGGTTCCAGGGTTGAAAGAGAGCACCATTAACCTTCAATATATATCATAAAGAGTTACCATGCATTAGGAAACACAAAGATTTTTAGAGGTGTGATAACATATTCAAACATAGGTACTGTAACTCTTTTGCTAATGATTTACATGCACTTTCAAAAATGCTTTGCTAACTGTATACACTAAATTCTCTAAGCAGTCTAATCATAAGTTAGCCCACAGCTTAGCAATTTATCAGCCAGGGAAAGAGGAACACTGCCATATTCTGCTCTTACAACAGTACATTAAAAGCTGATTGCCTAGTGTTACAAAGACAGACAAGAAGCAATATAATACAGGACATCATTTAGGCACAGAAGTAGGATGTGCGACATGACTGAGACAGAGAAACAGAAATCCTCACTGTAATTTTAGCATGACATTGTGAAGAAACAGATAATGAAGGAACATGGAACATGGAATCCTTCTGGAAAATTCAGGTTTCTTTGTCAGTGCCTGGAAACAGTTGGCTGGGAATATGGGGGGCAATGTCTGCCCGATAATGAGAAAGAAGTAACACCAGCAGTTTTTTGCAAAAGGGGCCTTCAAAGCCAAGTCAGCTTGTTCCCTGGTACTGCACTAACTGGAAAATGTCTTCAACTATGTGAAGGCAGTCGGGCAGAAAGTGCTCTTGTTTTCATGAATATTCAAGGAAACTCAAAGCCTGATTGGCAGACCATCTGGAAGGAGCCAGAATGTGACATTTAATGTACAAAAAGGGGTTCAAAAGTTACTTTTAGTTGGCTTAGCTTGCCTCTTAGGATATGCTATGCTCAACTGGTGTTCTACTATGCTTTGCCTGGAAAGATGCACTCTGTGTATGCTTCAGAATAATGCTGACTTGTGAGTATTGGGTAATTAGCTTCGCTTTGTTATTTTCTGGTGTGTTCTCTGGATTTCTCCAGATCTTGTCTCAGATTATCCTTTTAAGAAATCCTTTGGAAACTTTTGATGTTTTGCTTGTTTTACTGTTTTTAATAAAGTATAAAACATATCCAACCAAATATCTGAGTTTTCGCCTGAGGGGGTTTGTGGTACTAAAACCAAGTCTTGCCTTGACCAACTACCAGGAGTTTTGGTATTTTTGTGGGTGTTGTTGGCATAGAGGTTCTGATTGCCTTGCTTTCCGGATCCTAGAACTCCATGGAAACACTGCCATATCTGAGTAGACTGGAGTGTTGGGAAGCACCAGGGCCAGGCAGGTTCCTAGCCTTGGTGCCTGCCAACACTCTCCTGGATTCACCCACTCCAGAAAAAATGCGGTAGTATGGCTAAGTGGCTAGAGAGGGTCACACTGAATCTGGTAATCTGTCACAAGACTTTTACATGCACTAATTTAAAAGAACGGAATAACAAAGTATCATTTCATTTAGGAGAGTGCATTCTCTGCCCTCCATGCTGCAGCAACATTTGTATTTTAAAATCTTTATTTTAAAATGTT